TGGAAAGGGAGCTATTGCCAAAGGACTTTGAAGGAGCCTATCGGGTCAAGTGAAAATGCTTGTGAGTATGTTTCGAATTTTTCAGTTGGGCATCGGTGGCGCACGCCTTTAATCCCATCACTCAGAAGGCAGAGGCAGATGGATCTCTGTGAGTTCGAGGCCAGCCTGGTCTACAGATCGAGTTCCAGGACAGCCTCCAAAACAATACAGAGAAACCTTGTCTCGGAAAAAAAAAAGGTTGAATTTTTCTTAGCATATATCTTCATTCAACATATTGGAAACATTACAGCAATTGTCAAGTCATCCACTCAAGTCAGTCAGGTTCTTTAATTTAATTTACCACATTTATCCCCTTCTTCTTCCCAAAGAGTCCTTCTACTTTCATGTTGTATAATCTCTGTCTCTCTGTCTCTCTCTCTCTCTCTCTCTCACACACACACACACAGAGAGAGAGAGAGAGAGAGAGAGAGAGAGAGAGACAGAGACAGAGACAGAGAGAGAGAGACAGACAGAGACAGAGAGAGAGAGACAGACAGAGAGAGAGAGAGACCTGGTTCTGTGTGTTTAAAAAGTCTGATACTTCTCTTTGCCCACAGCCTCACTATGATACCCTGACTGATGTGGAAGTCACCCTGTAGACCATGGTGGGCTTAGACTCATGTGGAAGTCACCCTGTAGACCATGGTGGGCTTAGACTCATGGAAATGCTCCTGTTTCTGCCTCCCAAGCAGGGGATGACAGGCAGGCACTATCAGCCCTCACTGATATGTCCTCTTCTGAGTCGGGCTTCCTTTTCTTAAAGCAATAATCTCCAATTCTATCTATTTCCCTGAAAATGGCATGGTGTCTTTTGTTTTTTAGTTTTTGGGGTTTTTTCTTGTTGGGAAAATCTTTGTTGTGTTATATACTGATTTTTTTTCAGACAGGCATGTAGACTTACACCTGTGATGTCAGAATTAAGACTGAGCAGGAGAATTACAGTAAACTACAGGTCAATATGAGCTACAGAGTGAGACCTGTCTCAAAAACTCATACACACACACACACACACACACACACACACACACACACACACACACGAACATACTCATGCATACCACATTTTCATTATCTATTCATCTGTTGATGGGCATCTAGGTGAGCATGGACGGACAAGTGTCTCGGAGGTATGTTGACTTAGAATCCCTCTGATATATGCCAGGAGTTGAATCCCACTGTTAGATTTTTTTTAGAGGTTTTTCAAATTTCCTTAGTGGCTGCACCAGCTTAAACCCCCTCCCCAGCAGTGTATAAAGGTTCCTCTTTCCCCACATGCTCTCCAGCATTTGTTGTCTTTTATTTTCCTTTAAGTTTTAATTAATTAGCCAGGGTGGTAGTGGACACCTTTAGTCCCAGCGCTAGGGAAGCAGAGGCAGGCCAACTGGTCTTCAAACCAAGTTCCAGGACAGCCAGGCTATACAGAGAAACCCTATAGACATAACAGTAAATAATATGTTTGTTTAAAAAAGGGGGAGGCAGAAAGACGGCTCACTGGTTAAGAGCATTTGTTGTTCTTGCAGGGATCCCGGGTTCAAGCCCCAGTACCCAAACCATCCATAACTACAGTTTCAGGGGATCTGATCCCTTCTTCTGCCTCGAGTACCAGGCACTCACGTGGTGTACAGACATGCATAGATGTGATCAAATCTCTCATGCATATAAAATAAATAAATCTTGTTTGTTTATTTGTTTGAGACAGGGACTCGTTATGTAACTCTGGCTGTCCCAGATGCTTGTGAGTTCAAGGCAGGCCTGGTCTACAGAGCTAGTTCCAGGATAGGCTCCAAAGCCACACAGAGAAACCCTGAAAAGAAAAAAAAAATACTGTCTCAGCCAGGAGGTGGTGATGCACCCCTTTAACACCAGCACTCAGAAGACAGAGGCAGGCAGATCTCTGTGAGTTCGAGTCCAGCCTTGTCTACAGACCAAATTCCAGGACAAACGAGGCTACACAGAGAAACCCTGTTTCAGGAAAATAAAACAAAAGGAAAAGCTGTATCTTAGTTTCTCATGCAGACCAGGGTAGCAACAGAGTCAATGCGTAGCTGAAGCTGGCCTTGAATGTCTGATCCCCCTACCTCCAGCTCTCCAGTGCCAATGCACCCAACTTCTGTGTCCCTCCCTTGAGAGAGAGATGGCAGCTAGCCTGAGGGCATGTGGTGCTGTTCTCCAGAGCATCAGTCTCCAGGCCCACTCAGCCAACCCCGGCACTCTGGTCATGGTTTGAGCACAACGCGTCAGCGCAATGTCCCACATCTTCAATTACAAAACAGGACAAGATGCCCTGATGACTAAATCTCTCCCCTCCCTCCCAGAAACTCAGTTCCAGACACCTACTGCCCGTTGGAGGCTGCTGGAGGCAGCAGGTCAGCAGTTCCAAACACAACAACGGTTTTCCCTTTGGCACTCTAGGCTTCTCTAAATCCAGGCCTGGCCTAAACCAGCCTGAACGGCTTGGCAGCTGGTCCAGATGGCTCCAGTCCCAGTCCCGAGGCCAGGCAGCCCGCAGGAAAGTGGGGGCACTCCAGCTGTGGAAATAATGGTCTACTGTGAACCCGGATTCGCCTCAGATGTGGGAGTCCGGGCATCCGGTTAATGAAATGGATATCTGCAGTCGGGTCGACTCTGCCACAGTGGGGCCTTCGTTTGAGACAGGTGCATAGACAGAACTGTGACCACACTCTCTCTCCTGGTGTTCTGCTTCCCACAGTGTTCTAAGCATTTGATCCCTATGACCTGATTTCATCTTCGCGGTGACTAAAGGAGGTCCTCTCCTTCCAGGCTCAAGGTGGACAGAGTGAGGGCAAATATGGGGAGACCAGGAATTGGTTGTTTTATTTTCTTTTTTACTGTTTGAGAATTTCATACAAGCACACAGTGTGTCTTGATCGAGTCTCTTCATCCCACCACCTCCAGGCGCGCCCTTATTCCCATACTCAATTCCTTCCCAGTTTCATGTACTTTCAGGTACACTGAGTGCTGCCCATTCCTGCATGGATACAGGGCCACCTACTGGAGTGTGGGCAGCCTCTCAGGTGCCACAACCCAATAAAACTGACTCGCCCTCTCCCAGCAGCCAGCTTCTCTAGGGCTGAGGCTCCCCGACCACCCCTCACTTCACGCTGGGGTTCTGTCTGGCTTTGTCTTGTTCATTCAGTCCTGGCCAGCATGAGTTCATGTGTGCCAGTGTCCCCTGTTATGTCCAGAAAACTGTTCCATGGCAGTCATCCAGGACCTCTGGCTCTTGCAATCTTTAGCCCTGGGAGGAGAGTGTGTGACATAGATGACCCATTTAGTGCTAACACTCTGAAGTCTCTTGTTCTTCCCACACTGACTAGTTTTAGGACTCTGTATTGATGGTTTTTAACCAATGGCTTTTTTTCAAAGATTTATTTATTTTTGTTATGTATACACACACCGGAAGAGGACATCAGATCTCATTATAGATGGTGTGAGCCACCACGTTAGTTCTGAGGAGCACCCACACACTCAACCTAGAGCCTTCTCCCCACAGCAGCCTGCGTTATTATTGTCAAGGAATGTGCAATGATTACCATGACTGTTACCAGAGTGAGATTTAACTTGATTTGTTTCTAGGAGGCAGAATTTACAGGGCTGGGGAGTGACCCCAGGGTCTTACATATGCTAAGCAAACACTCTACCCCTGAGGGCACACCCCTAGTTTTCTCCTTCTTTTTCTTAGAGTGTGTGTGTGTGTGTGTGTGTGTGTGTGTGCGCGTGCACTCGCACACGTGTGTTCTATGGTGAACATGCAGTTCTCTCCTTCTAACCCCTGGATTCTGGTGATCTAACAGGACTGGCAGCAGGTGCCACCTCACAAGCCCCACAATGAATGCTTTTAATTATGACTGTTACCCCAAGTCTAGCCCTGCTTAAGCTCCTTCTCTGGCTGTGGTCTTTCTGGGGCCCCAAGACTCTGCCTGTCTCTGCTGGTGCTCCAGGATCTGGTCAGAGTTCGTTCTTCTAAGACCCTGTCTTACCAATAGCCTGGAGGCGCTGGTTTCTTTTTAGGGCAAGCCTCATGAATTAGGAGGACAGGTTGGCTGATGGGGTGATTCATCATGGAATCTCCAGATTTTCTACTGCCACTCAGGCCCAGCCCAGCCCAAGTACGTTGGTGAGTGGGTATCTGATGTGTGTCCGTGTGTTTCAGAGCCCAACCTAGCCTGACCCTGAAGCCTTTCTTATTTAAGTTTTCAAACTCAACAAACAATCCCTGGTTCCTACTTGGTTCCTAGACACTCCAGAACTAGGATTCTTCCTTATCTTAGGGCAGCATAGCTGATCAGAGCTAAGATATGGAACTGTAGGGACAGCAAAATGGCTAAGTAGATACAGGTGCTGGACACCAAGTCTGACTGCCTGTGTTTGACCCCAGGGTTCAGGTAGTGAAAGGAAAGGAAAGACTCCCACAAGTTGTCCTCTCACCTACACACACACACACACACACCATGGCAAAATAAATAGCATACATAAAAAGATTAAAGAAAAGGGAAAAGAAAGAGGGTAGCAGCCTGGGCATCATGAGGTGTGCAGAGATGAAGAAAGCAGGAAGCCGGACCTAATGGTGCATGTCAATAACTCCAGCTACTGGGAGTTCAAGGCCTGCCTGATCAACCCAGTGAATTTCTATCTCAGAGGGAGAGAGAGAGAGAGAGAGAGAGAGAGAGAGAGAGAGAGAGAGAGAGAGAGTATGTGTGCTAGGGAGATGGTTCAGTCAATAAAGCATCTGGGAGGAGAGGGGATGCTGATTTCAGAGATCCCTTTTTCTTCTGGGAGTTGGTGACTCACTCCTTTAATCCTAGCACTTGGGAAAAAGAGGCAGGCAGATCTCTGAGTTCGAGGCCAGCCTGGTCTACAGAGCAAGTTCCAGGACAGCCAGGAATACATGGGAAAAAATCTCAAACAAAAAATAATAATAATAAAAATAAATCAGTTTATCTTGGTAACTGGTAGTATCAGGGTTACCAAAGCAAAAGCTTCACCCTAGTGTCTGCCCTGGGAAAAGCCTACATACTTTGTTTTGAAGTTACATTTATTTATCTATATATACACTTATTTTGTGGGGGTACGGACACATGGTATGACTCATGTGGAGGTCAGAGGACAGCCTTCAGGAGGCTGTTCTCTCCTTCCACTGTGTGGGTCCCAGGGATTGAACTCAGTCCCTCAGGTTTGGTGACATCAAGTGCCTTAGCCTGCTGATCCACCTCTCTGGTTCCCATCCTTCAGCAGACAGCGCCTTCCACTGCTAAATCTTTGGAAACCCGGGCTTAGAGGAGAGTATTGCTTCAAACTGTCCCAAGAAGCAGAACCCACACCTTGGTGATCTGCCGTCCGATCTGCTTCTATGTGCCCGACTTTATCCTGAGCGATCACAGGTTACCAGAGAGAGAAGCACTGGTCCTGAAGCTGCAGCTCAGTTGCTAGAGAGATTAGCTAACACAAGGGAATCCCTAGGTTTGATCCCAGCACCACATGAACTAGCTGTAGTGGGTCATGCCTATGATCCTAGCATTTGGATGTTGAAGGCAGGAGACCATAAATTTAAGGTCATCATTGGCTACATAGGGAGTTACATAGCCTGGGCTACATGAGAACCTAGAGAGAGGAGGGGTGCAAGAGAGAGAACACTAACAAACATGAATAAGAATACCTGGTAGGTGACCAGGCCCTGGGGTGAGTCCCTGGGGAATTCCGGGTCTGGCTCAGTCGGGGCTTCCCCAGCCTGGCCTGGGACCTGCCTGAGGACCAGTCCCTAGCCTGGTGGGCCTCTTAGTTGTAAAGCTGGTTTGAGGGTGGGAGGCAAGGAAGGTAGCAATTTCCATAGAACCCAGCCTTGCGGAACCCGCCCCACCTGATGCCAGAATAAAAGGGAGCCGCATCTGGCCTGGGATCCCAGCGTTTAGGAGGAAGCAGGAGGTTAAAAAAAGATCCAGGCCAGCCTAGGCTATGTTAAGAGGTTCAAGGACAGCCTGGAAGAGGAGGAAGTGAGGAGAGACAGGACCATTCAGCAGGCCTCCGATGTCAGCACCCAGAGGAGAGGACAGATCCCACACTACCAACCCAGGTGGGTTCCCAGGATGAAACTGGGAAATGCTTTTTGCTTAACCAGGGTCTGGAACTGGGCTGGGAGAAGGCAGGTGGCTGGTAACGGTCATTCCATCGAAAGTAGGACACCCTTTCTCAAGAAACAAAACACAGGACACTGGGAAGATGGCTCCCTGGGTCAGAGCGCACTTGATGTGCGAGAGTGAGGGGCTAAGTTAGAAGCCCTTTCCACCATATTAAAAGGCCAGTAAACCCAGCATTTGGAAGCAGGGATAGACAGTGGGTCCCGGGAGCTTGCAGCCAGTCAAACACTCACAATGACCTCCAAGTTTAGGGAGGGACCCTGTCTCGAGGCAATAATGCAGGCCAGGGATAGAGGAAAACACTGATATTTTCCTCTCACCTGGCAATGTGCACACGTGGGGGTGTGCCCTCGGGTGCATGCACCACACATCACGCGCAGGCATACACACTCTCGGATTCTTAAAGAGCAGGGCCAGTGAGATGGTGCAAAGGGTGAAGGCACCTGTCCCCAAGCCTGATGACCTGAATTTCATCACTGGGACCCACGCAGCAGAAGGAGAGAACCCACTTCCACAGTCCTCAGCCTCCACGCATGCTCCATGGCACTTGAGTGCTTGCACAGGGTGGGGGTGGGGCCGGGAGAGAGCTTAAAAGCAGAGGAGGAAAAAGAGGAAGACCCCACTCTCCAGCATCCTGTGAGTGTGGGGTGCAGCACAGGGGGTAGGGGTGGCACTAACCACAGGCTTCCTCTCTCTGCTTGCTAGAATGTGGATGTGAAAAGTTCCCCTCAAGGCCCACATGTTGGAGGCTGGGCGCCCAGCGCGTGGTGCTTTAAGACAAGTGGGCTAGTGGGCGGAAGTCACTGAGACAGACCGCCTTTCCTCTCTCTCTCCGTTCTTCCCTCTCAGCTTCTGTAAGGTAAGCAGCTTCCTCCGCCATACATTGCTCTCTCCTCACAGGCGCAGAGCAGTCAGGTTGATGCACTAAGGATTACAGCTGCGGAATCTGTAAGCCAAAGTTTATCTTTCTTCCTTAAAAACTGTTCGTGTCTCTGGGTGTGATGGTTTATGCCTCTAATCCTAGCACCCAGGAGGCATTATACAAGCAGATCTTTGTGTTTGAGGGCAGCCAGATCTACATAGCAAGTTCTGGGACAGCCTGGGCTGTCTCAGAAAGAAAGAAAGAAAGAAAGAAAGAAAGAAAGAAAGAAAGAAAGAAAGAAAGAAAGAAAGAAAGAAAGAAAGAAAGAAAGAAAGAAAGAAAGAAAGAAAGAAAGAAAGAAAGAAAGAAAGAAAGAAAGAAAGAAAGAAAGAAAGAAAGAAAGAAAGAAAGAAAGAAAGAGAAAGAAGAAAGGGAACGAGAAATGAAAGGGAAAATATCATATAACAGAAACAAGTCTCTGTTTTTGCCCAGCACATTCTGCCTTACCAGGCAGCCAAGAGGTTCTTCTAGTGGCAACTACAGAGCTGTCACTTTTGAGACAGGCAGCGCATGCTAAGATTGATGTCAAAGCATCACTCCAAAGAATGTGCAGAATTTAAACTGTGTGTAGCAGTACATGCCTATAATCCCAACATTCAGGAGTCTCAGGTAGGAGGGCCCTGAGATTGAGGCAAGCCTAGGCTACATAGCAACACCCTGTCTCAAAATAAGATATAAAAAGATACCAGTGTGATGGCACACACCTTTAACCCCAGTAATGTGGGGCAGTCAAAATGGGAAGAATAGGAACTCAAAACCAGCTGAGCTACTGGGATTCTGTCTCAAGGGGAAAAAAAAAAGGTGAGTTGGGGCTTGAGAGGTGGCTCAGTAGTTAAGAGCCCTGAGTTGTTTGCAGGGGGCCTGAACCCAGATCCCAGATCCCAGTACCCGCATCAAATAGCTCACAACAACTTGCAACCCCAGCTCCAAGGGATCCAGTGCCCTCTTTTGTCTTTGATAAACCCTGCTCTCTCATTCAAAACAAACAGACAGCCAGGTGGCGGCCAGCCATGCACCCCTGAGCTCCAGAGGCAGAGGCAGCTGGATCTCTGAGTTCCAGGCCAGCCTGAGTTCATTCCAGGACTACATAGTGATACCCTGTCTTGAAAGAGAAACAAACAAACAAAAGACCCACATACATGCAAACAGATGTTAACAAGATGCTTTGGTGGGTAAAGGTATGTTTTTGTGCAAGCCTGAGTTCTATCTCTAGCTCTTGAAGTGGAAGGAGAAAGTGACTCCCAAAAGCTGTTCTCTTAACTCCACTTGAGTGCCATGACACACGAACATACCCACACTCATCTCATAGACACACAATAACAACACATTCAAATTTAAATTAAAGAAAAAAATATATATATGGGTTCTTTTTCCAGACAGGGTTTCTCTGTGTAGCCCTGGCTGTCCTGGAACTTGCTCTGTAGACCAGGATGGTCTTGAACTTGGAGATCCACCTGTCTTTGCTGGGGTTACAGACATGTGCCACTATCACCTAGCTTAAGCATAGGAGTGGGGTTTTTATTGTTGTTGTTGTTTTGAGACAGAATCTCTCTACATAGCTCTTGCAGCCTTGAAACTCACTATATAGATCAGGTTGGCCTTGAACTCACTGAAGCCTTTTAAATAAAAGGAGATAAAATGTAAAATGGGGGGGTGATATACAATTCAAAGATACAGTGCTTGCCTAGCATGCATAAGCCCCTAGCTTCAATCTCAGCACTGGGAAAAAAATTTAATTATCTTTTTTACAGGGGGCCCTAAAGTTTCTGGACTTTGAATTTCCCAGTCTACAGACTTCTCTTGGCGTGACATGGGTCTGCCTTCCTGACCCATCACGTCACTCTGGGCGGGGACAGAACAGGATGGAGACTTTGAGACCCAAATAACCTTGACCCAGACCCTGTACTCCCACGCTCGCTCCACTGGGGGAGCGTGCTGTCCAGTTTGCTCTGATAGGGCAGGTCACTCTCATGCTCCCCTCCTCCCAGCACCCCTGAGGTTCTCTGCTGGGCCTCTGCCCTGGAACCGGACCCCACAACGATGAAGGCTGGGGGTGTCCTCTGGATCCTGCTTCAACTGCTGCTGTGGCCACAGCCAGGGACAGGTGAGTCCAAGGGCAGAGCCCTGGGGGACCGGGGGGTGTACTTGCTATGAGGAACCGCACTGGGGCAAGGCTCCAGGTCTCAGCAAACAGTCATCAGGGCACCACACATTTCCAGGCCCTGAGGAGTCAAGGAAGGGGTGCTGGAGGGGAGACCTGGGAGCAAAAACTAAGGGTGGCTTCCTGGAGAAGGGACTCACACAACTAGGATGGGAGGAGAGAGAGCTGGGTTTGATTGAGAAGCAGAAAAGACAGGATAATTTAAGCAGAAAACAAAAACAAACAAACAAAAACCAAAGTTACAGAACCAATTGCCCGAGGAAGAGCACAGATTCCAACCACTGGGATATAGCGATTAAAATGACCAGGAGGCTCTGAGTGTGGAAAAACTTCTCTGTATCCCCAGAACATAGGAGGCTAAGGCAGGAGGATCATGAGTTTGAGGTTAGCCTGGGATATGTAATGAGTTAGAGGCCAGCCTGCACTATATAGCAAGCCCCTGCAACAAACAAAATAACTTACCTTCCTATATTCAAATTATACCTCCTGCACTTCCTAGCGGTGTAACCTGATGCAGCTAACATGTCCTCCCCATTTCAGATACTTCACCTGTGACAGGAAGCTAATGAGACATGCCCATAATGTTTGGTGAGGATTGAATAAGTTATATATATGTCACTTGGAGTGATCTCTGGCACATAGTAAATGTTTAAATAAACGTTGGCAGTTATTCAACAACCTCTAAGTCCACTGTGGACCTGGTAACCTAACATCTGGATTCCTTTCCTTTGAAAAGGGAAAAATCCATTCTCCTCCTCCCCTCGGGTTGTTTGTCTGTCCATCCGTCTGTACGTCTGTTTGCTTGAGACGAGGTCTCACTTGGCAGTCAGGATGGGTTGGAGCTGTGTAGTTCAAGCCAGTCTTGAACTTGTGGTGGTCTTTCTGACTCAGCATTTTTGAGTGCTGGGATTACAGGCATGAGCCATCATACTTACCTTCCATGGTGTCATGTGACTACTTTTGAAGTGATAACGAACATCTTATGCCACCAGTAGGGTGTGAATGGTGAGCCAAAGACATTATTCCCATTTAAATCTAGATCAGTAAACCATGGGGTTCATTGGGGTTGCTTATAGGAACATACATCATCAAAAGCCCATCCCCAGCATGAACGACGACTCACAGAAGCTGTATTCCCCTAGCTTCCCGCTGAAATTTCAGGCAGCTTGGCTGGTGGGAGAGTCCCTTCTTCCTTTTTTTTTTTTTTTGCTTTGTTTTTTTTTTCGAGACAGGGTTTCTCTGTGGCTTTTGGAGGCTGTCCTGGAACTCGCTCGGTAGACCAGGCTGGTCTCGAACTCACAGAGATCCGCCTGCCTCTGCCTCCCGAGTGCTGGGATTAAAGGCGTGCGCCACCAACGCCCGGCTGAGTCCCTTCTTCCTTACAGTTGCTGCTGTTTATATAACCTTGGGAGGGGGCATCTTAAATTTTGTAGGTTTTAGGAGTTTCCTGAGACTTCTAAGTTGGTTTACTTCCTGAGCCTTAGTAAGAGGTCTCAGATGAGAGAAAATTTCTATATAACCCTTGGGTATCCTTCAACATACTTTTCCTTCTAAAACTGCCCAACTCTAATCTGTCACCAAAAACTGTCTGAGCTGGAGAGATGGCTCAGTGGTTAAGACAGTGCGCCATTGTTACAGAAGACCCACGTTCTGTTCCCAGCACCCACACTGGATGATTCACAGCCACCAGTATCTCCAGCTCCTGTATAACCAAAACCTCTGGCCTCCACAGGCATACACACCCTCTGACACACACAATTAAAAATAATAAAAATAAACTTAAGATAATAGTCATTTTTAAATAACTTACTTTTATTTTATGTATGTGCACTGGTGTTTCAAACACATGTGTGCCCGTGTGAGGGTATCAGAAACCTTGAAACTGGAGTTGCAGATGCGGTTTCTGGGAATCAAACCCAGGTTCTCTGGAAGAGCAGTCAGTGCTCTTAACCTCTGAGTAATCTCTCCACCCCCAAAGTGATTTTTAAATGATCTGTTTTTATCCCTACATCTGTAGAAATTCCCCACGCTTTGTTCTTTGCCAACACTATACCACCAGCCACCTAACTCCCTTGCCTCTTGACTGTCTGCCCCCCCTCCGTTATCCCAGCACCTTGAAATCCATTTCCACATAGCAAGCCAAACAACAATATTAGAATGATGTTTTAGTCTATACTTATGAATATATACCATGACCACAGCAACTCTTTTTTTTTTTGTTTTTGTTTTTTTGTTTTTCGAGGCAGGGTTTCTCTGTATTGTTTTGGAGGCTGACCTGGAACTCACTCTGTAGACCAGGCTGGCCTCGAACTCACAGAGATCCGAGTGTGCCACCAACGCCCGGCCACAGCAACTCTTATAAAGGAAAGCATTTAATCGGAGCTGGCTTACAGCTGACCTACACCATGCTGGAGGAGCTGAGAGTTCTACCTTAGGATCCACAGGCAGCAGGAAGAAGAGAGAAAGCCACTGGGCCTGGTGTGGGATTCTGAAACCCCAAAGCCTACCCCTAGTGACACACTTCCTCCAACAGGGCCACACCTCCTAATCCCTCTCAAGTAACACCACTCCCTAATGACCAAGCATTCAAATATGTGGGCCTCTGGGGGGACATTCCTGTTTAAACCACCACAGGTGACAACCTGGCCAGGTCTCTCTCCTGCTTGTAATCTTGCCATGGCTCCCCAATGTTCATAGACAGTCCAGCCTCCTTAACCAACAGACAATAGTCTGGGTGTCTCAGTTTCCTCCCCTACTCAACAGCATGCTGGTCACAGTGGTGCAGGCAGGGACATTAGGAAAACGTGACTTGAGCAGGGGGAGGTTCAGGAACAAGTGAGGCTGGGTAGCTGGGCTGATGTGTTCTTTCCTCCCACAGCCGCCTCCTCACCCCCGGTCATGGACTCCGTCATCCAGGCCCTTGAGGAGCTTGAGCAAAAGGTGCTGGTGACGGAGGCCAGCAGCACTGCCTCCGCATGGATTCTGTCAGCCAGGAGCTCCAGCCCCCACAATTCTCTTCACCAGCACTTGCTGCGGAAGGCACCGAGCCACAACACTATGGAGACAGATCTCCACTCACTGAGCCCAGAGCTTCAAGCCCTGATTTCCGAGGTGGCCCAGCATGACATACAAGATGGGCAGGAATACGGCGTGGTGCTGGCACCAGATGGCTCCGCGGTAGCTGTGGAGCCTCTGCTGGTTGGGCTAGAGGCCGGCTTACAGGCGCACAGTGCTGCCAACTCACCTTTAGAGTGCCTGGCCATGCCGTGTGATGCTAGCGACACCTTGACAAACACTGGAGCCGTCTGGCCAGGACTCATGGATGCCTCCACAAGTGCCTCTTTTACAGATGGTGGAGCCACTTTACCAAATGGCAAAGCCAAGACCCCCACTACTGTGGACAGACTCCTGGCGGTCACCTTGGGCAGAGACTTAGGTCTGACGTTCCTCAACAGTTCCCAGGCTCGGAGTCCTCCAGGCCTGGGAACCGAGGGCTGCTGGAACCAGCTCTCTGCCGGCAGGGTCTTCACCCTGCTGGACCCCAAGGCATCCAGGCTCACCGTGGCTTTCCTCAATGGGGCCTTGGACGGAGCTCTGCTTGGGGACCACTTGAGCCGGGCCTCTAAGCCCCGGCCACGCCTCAGCTGCCTGCTGAAAGAGTACTATGGAGCTGGGGTGGCTGGAGATCCGAAGTTCCGAAGTAACTTCCGAAGGCAGAACGTGGCTGCTTTGACCTCAGTTCCTACCCTGGCCCAGCAGGTATGGGAGGCCCTTGTCCTGCTACAGAGGCTGGAGCCAGGACATCCCCAGTTGCAGAACAAGAGCCAAGAAGAGCTGGCTCAGGGAGCCACCTTTGCTACCAAGGAGTTCACTGAGACTTTCCTGGGTAAGGAGTTCCCCCAGCCCCTCCTACATATATACCCTCAGCACCCTTGCGGTCAGTGGCACCCAGGACCCAGGGAACCCAGGGGGACAGCAGAGCCTGTAGATAGGGACAGCTGCCTGGTCAAAGAAATGCAAGAGATGGTCCTTGAAGAATAAATAAGGAGTTCATCTGATTTAATTTTTTTAAAGAAGGGTTGGTAGTGTGCATGCAATCCCTACCACCAAAGTAAAATGTGCATTGTGGTACATGCTGGCAATCCCAGCTCTTGAGAGGTAGAAGCCAGAGGAACAAGAAATGTCAATGGCGGCCTACAATACATATCAAGGGCAGCCTGGGCTTCATGAGAGCCTGAACGCTAACCCCCCCAACACACACACACACACATACACACACACACACACACACACACACACACACACTGAAAGTCAACACATGGGGACTCTTTTTATTTAACTACTTTATTGAAAAAGGGTCTACATAGCCCAGGCTGGTCTTGAACTTGCAAGTCCCCTTCCTTAATCTCTCAAATGCTGGGATAAGCAGGGATGCACTATCATACTCACACTTGTGAGCTTTCTTCTGGAAGTGGCGGGACACACAGCAGATTCCAAGACTGTCTGTCGTGTGTGTGTGTGTGTGTGTGTGTGTGTGTGTGTGTGTGTGTGTGTGTGATCTGAGCCATCTCCCTGGACTAAAACTAAACTCTTGCCCAAATCCTGGAGGCCGGAGGGATGCCCTCAGGCGCATTTTAATAGAAATTCAGTCTTCCAGAAGGAAATGCTTAATGATCAGAGTCTGCCTTGCTCCTGAAGGATGCCCAGCCATTCTCCCTCGCTGTCGCTGGGGAGCCGCGCCCTATCGAGGCAACCCGACGCCACTCCGGCTGCCGCTCGGATTCTTATATGTGCATCATACGTACGTGCCAGCGCCACCTTGCACCACCTTCCAGCGCTGCGCCGCCAACATGCGCTCCATGCAGCGATTCCACCAGAATGAGCGCCACTGGAATGACATCGGCTACAGGTGGACCTGGTCTAGCCACTGTGGGAGAGGCTGGAAGGCAGGGAGTAAAACAAGTGGGTGGAGACGGGCAAGTAGAAGTAGGAGTTCGTAGTGGGCGTGGTCAAGAACCAAGATGTGATCGAGATGAGGAGCTAGGTCCCGGACTGGGATGGAACTATGAATCCCGCAAGGGATGGGGAGGGGAAAAAGGTGGAAAGGGACTTGACGAGTTCTTAGGGGTGGATTCAGAAAAAGGTAAAGCTTTTTTGCTTTTAGAGACAGGGTTTCTCTGTGTAACAGCCCTGGCTGTCCTGGAAATCACTTTGTAAACCAGGCTGGCCTCAAACTCAGAGATCCACCTGCCTCTGCCTCCCGAGTGCTGGGATTAAAGGTATGTGCCACTACCGCCCAGCTGATTTTATTTACTTATTTTACTAAGACAAGGTCTCATAGTTGGCCTGGAGCTCGCTATGTGGAAAAAGCTGGCCTCGAACTCAAGAGTTCTGCCGGCTTCTTTCTCTGAATGTTATGACTAAGGCATTTCCCACCATTCTGCAAGAGAGAACCGTTTCTGGGGTGACACGTGGTACTCAAATGACTGAATTGGATGACACAGAAACAGTGTACCGCTCTTGCTGTCATGTGGCACAGGGACAGAATCTGGGGGCGTGTCCAGGTTGGGCGTGGCCAGGTAAGGGGCGGGCGTACCACCCTGCTTTACTTAAGTCCTATCCCCTCCGCAGTTTCGTGGTGGGCTCCGATGGCTATGTGTACGAGGGCCGCGGCTGGCACTGGGTGGGCGCCCATACGCGCGGCCACAATTCCCGCGGCTTCGGCGTGGCCTTCGTGGGCAACTATACTGGGTCACTACCCAGCGACACGGCGCTGAACACGGTGCGCGACGTGCTCCCGAGCTGCGCCATTCGTGCAGGCCACTTGCAGCCAGACTACAAGCTGCTCGGCCACCGTCAACTAGTGCGCAGCGACTGTCCCGGGGACGCGCTCTTCAACCTGCTGCGCACCTGGCCTCACTTCGTAGAGGTGAGCCTGCCTGCCCATGTGCCTGAGCTTAGCCTGTCACCCCTGCGCCTTCAACGCATGAGCCAGGTCCCAGCCTTCAGTCACTGCCCATGTCCTGTCCTGACAGCTTGTCTTTTGCCTAACTCCTACCACTTCTGCTGGCACCCCTCTGACTTATAACCTCAGTCTGACCTTCGTTACTCATCCCTGTTAGATTACAGACCTGCAGCTGCCGGATCTCTTCCCCCAAATCAGGCCACACCCACCGAAAGTCTCCGAAATTGTGTAGCAGACCACTGTTGCCTTTCTGATGCTCTCTGACACTCATGCCTGAGTGCTACGAGAGACTTCCGGGGGGGTACACATCTCAAATAGAGAGTCTTCCAAAGTAACAATTCTCTATAAAGTCCAACTTGGTTGTTTTTACTGGGGTTACTTACAGGAGTATGGATAAGGGGCTCCTTACAGGATCCCGCATGTCTTAAAAACAGCTGTGCCATGAGAACAGCCACCTCAACACGGGTGATAGTCATGAAAGCTGCAACCCTGAAGTCTCGCCCCCTACATGACTTGCAGGCGGCTCACCAGCAGAGTCCCCTCTGGGCGATTTCTGGCAGCCGTGTGGGTCAGTCCTGTCCCCCATCTGGCCCCCGACCAGTTGTTTAAGCTTCCATCTAATCAACCTTGATTAAGGGACCCTAATTCTTTCCTTCGGGGAATATTTCTGATTTGTTTTGTTGTTTTTTCCTGAGGCAGGGTTTCTCTGTGTATTCCTAGCTGTCCTGGCACTTGCTCTGTAGACCAGGCTGGCCTTGAACTCAGAGATTTGCATGGCTCTTTGAGTGCTGTCACTGCCCGCCTAACAAAACCTTCTTACCTAGTGCTTGACTGCTTCCCTGACTCTTGGCAGTAGACCACATGGTGTGAATACCCACACCGCCCTCCCAAGCCCCACCCCCTCCCCCACACCTCTATTCCCCCACCCCTCCACCTCCCCACCCCACCCCTGAGATATCCAGCCAGGAACTCCTGGGGTGTTTTGGAACCCAAGTTTCTCTCTTTGGGGCCCTATCATGATTGTGTGGACCTGATGCTACTCAAATGAAACACTCATCTGAAGAGCAATTTGTCTTAGGTCCTTACTACTTAACCTATGGCATCTTTTATCAATTTATGATAATGCCCAAGATAAAACCTTTCTGCCTACATTACCTTCTCCCAGGCCACCCAGCCTACAGCTCATTCCAGCCTGCCATCCAGAAGCCTTCTGTTCACACAATACTAGTTAACCTAGACTGTGACTCTTTACCCCATAACTTCAATCCAGTCCCTACCTCTGCATTGTTTTCTGTGGGGACACCGGACCTTGAGCTCATCTCAACTCTGAGGGTTCTGGATAGCTCTGACTCCTGAAGATTCTTGGGTTTTTGTTTTGTTGTGTGTGGTACCTGCCAAGACTCCTGAAGATTATTACATTCGGGCAATCTAGATGTAGCCAGCCAGCACCACCAGCCTAAAAGCCTCATCCTAGACTCTGACTTCAAGCACTAACTTACCACACCAGAACACTCATTACCTGTGTCTGTTTTGTTTTGTTTGCTTGTTAAACAAAGTCTTGAGGTCTAGCCCAGACTAGCCTTGAACTCACTAGCTCACACTGGCCTCTGCCTCAAGTGCTGAGATTGGAGAGTCCAAATATATCACATCCAACTGCGGCTGGATTTAGCTTGATTTGGTTTTAATAGGGATTTGTGTAACCTGGATTTATTTTTTGAGACAGGGTTTCCACTATGTAACCTCAAACTCATAGAGATCCACTTGCCTCTGCCTCCTAAACGCTGGGATTAAAGGCTAAAGGCATGGACCCTCATGGCTAGCCCAATGTTAACCTTAAACTTTCAAAATCATTTGACCTCAGTCTCCCAAGGGCTGGGATTACAGATGTTCCCCCACCACACCCAGCTAGTCAACTTTTTGTTCCCTCCTCCACTTTGGGGCCCTCTCCTGTCCCATATCCAAGATTCCACAGCAAGGAGGGTGGATCCAACCATGCATACACCCTAAGTCTCATATTCTCTTATCTCTTTTCCAGGCTGAAAATTAAGAACTCCTCCGAGGGAGCCTTGGAGATCCAGGAGATGCTACCCCAGATGATGCTCCGAGCAGCCCCTGACCTCCAATAAAGGAACCTCTGAAAAGAAATCTCTGTGAGCATCTCTTTGCTCAAAAGCCAACTCAGACCAAAATGCAGTAGAGAACCTCCTTGACAGGAAGCATGGCTTTGTATTGACAGGGTCTCACTATGTAGCCCAGGTTGTCCTGGAACTGACTCTAGCTGGTCTCGAACTTACAAGAGATCTGCTTACCACTGCCTCCTGGATGCTGGGATTAAAGGTGTGCACCACTGACACCCAGCCAAAGCTAGAGATCCTGACTCCAGCATGACAGAATAAATAAAACTGGATATGGGGCTCACAGGCATAATGGTAGCATTGGGAGCTCCAGCAAGGAGGACTGCTTTGAAGCTATGGGTACTGCGACTGCCACTTCATATCAATGAGCACCAGAGAAGCAGAATGAGGGAGGCGGGGTGGTTTATTTACGACCTTGCAAGGTCAAATGCCAACAAAAATGGCAGGTATGCTGAGTTAGGAGGAAGGGTTTTGTTTGTTTGTTTGTTTCTAACGTTTCTATTCAAAAGCCCTTTCTCACTTTTTTCAAAGTATGGTCTTAGTCATAATGTAGAAAGCTGCCTGTATCTCCAATCCCGAGATAATGTTTGGTTTGAGAAAGTTAGCCGGAACCCAATGACTCCTACTTATCTGAAACCTAAGCCCATCTAATCGACTTTTGTATTGAAAATCAACCACTGTATTTTGTTTCCCACCAAGGTTAGAGGCTAACCTTTACGACAGAACCAAGGAGACAAAAACAAACAAATAAATTTTAGTATAAAATGATGATTTGGAGGCAACCCTAGAACTTCCTGTTGGGGAGTGAGAAATCGAAGCCTGGAGAAAAAGTAGCCAGGAAAAGCAGTATTTAAGAACAAGTTCCTGGGGGCTGGAGAGATGGCTCAGAGGTTAAGGGCACTGGCTGTTCTTTCAGAGGTTCTGAGTTCAATTTCCAGGAACCACATGGTGGCTGTAATGAGAACTGGTGCCCTCTTCTGGCCTGCATGCAGACAGAACACTGTATACATAATAAATAAATCTTAAAAAAAAAAAAAAAAAAGGCAGGTTCCCACCTCACAGTGGTGGAACACACCATTAATCCTAATCCTAGTACTTGGGAGGCAAAGGCAGGAAGATCTCTGTGAGTTCGAAGCCAGCCTGGTCTTCAGAGTGAGTTCCAGGACAGCCAGGGCTGCACAGAGAAGCCCTGTCTCAAAAAGAAAAAAAAAATCAAAATAGAGCTGAGGCTGTAACCCAGTAATAGAGAGCTTATCTAGCACAAACAAGGCCTCCGTCCCATCTCCATCCAGCACTGCATAAGCCAAGCATGATGATGCACACCTGTAATTCTAGGGCCCAGGGGCAGAGGGCAGAAGAATCAGGGATTCGTGGTCATCATCAGATACATAGCAAGTTCAAGACCATCCTGGGGAAAATATATATGTAAATAAAGCTAGAACCATGACTCAACAATTAAGAGTATTTACTGCTCTTTCAGAGGACCTGGGTTCAATTCCCAGCACCCACACTGTGTTTCACAACTACGTCTGTGTCTGATCCCAGAGGGTTCACTGCCCTCTTTCGACTTTCGTGGGCAACAGGTACACATGCGGGGCACAAACGTGCAGGCAACAAACAAACCCACGAAAGCTCTCACACACATAAGAGTAAGTAACCTATTGGGTTTTTGTTCCGTTTGTTTTTTTGAAGACAGGGTTTCTCCTTGTAGCCCTGGCTGTTCTGGAACTCCCTATGTAGACCAGGCTGGCCTTGAACTCACAGAGATCCACCTGTCTCCCACGCGCTGGGATTAAAGGTGTGTATCACTACCATTCTGCTAAATAAATCTTTTAAAAAGATAAATAAAATGGCTGGGTGTTGGTGGCGCACGCCTTTAATCCCAGCACTCGGGAGGCAGAGGCAGTCGGATCTCTGTGAGTTCGAGGCCAGGCTGGACCTGGCCTCCAAAACAATACAGAGAAACACTGTCTCGTAAAAACAAAACCAAAAAAAAAGAAAAAGAAAAAGAAATATAGATGCAATGTTCCTCTCCCTCCCCCCCCCTTTGTTTTTTCCCAGACAGGGTTTCTCTGTGTAACAGCCCTGACTGTCCTGGAACTTACTCTATAGATCAGACTAACCTCGAACTCACAGAGATCCTCTGCCTCTGCCTCCCAAGTGCTGGGATTAAAGGCATGCACCACCAACACCTTGCACAATATCCCTTTTTCAAAGCAAGAGTTTCAGGGCAGGCACAGTAAGGAAAGCATTAACCAAGTGTGGACCTCAGAGGCTGGGCGCTTAGTGAATGCCAACGCTATATGCCCACGGGCCCATCCTTATCCTTCCCACTCCATGAATCCAGTTCCCCTCCCACAGAGTCCACTATGTAGCCCAGGCTGGCTTCAGTGTGCACCCAACCAGTCCCGGGATTACATGTGCACAGCACCCCATGGATTAATGTTATCCTCGCCTTTGTCCAAAGTGACCCTTCTACTAGGTACAATCCTCTGTGCTCTTCTCATGCTTCAGGTTGAAAGGTTACCTCCCTAGAGAAGCCTTCCCTGATTTTTCCAGCCTGAGAAGAGCGGCATGTCTGCTCAACTGGTCATTCTCCGTCCAGTGTGTTTATCTCCGCCCAGTCTTCCACACAAATTCTCAATGTGCCTTTGACCTCAGGACCTGTCCCCCTCCCCAGACTGTGGGTGGCAGGAGGACAGAACTCACACTTACTCTCCTCCCCCACCCCATCTGGCACCCCGTCCTCACTCAGGAAGCATTTGTCAGATGTGAGCTTTAATTTATTTTTAATTATGTGTACCTGTGTATGGGTGTGTGCTCCTGCAGTGTTGAGTGTAGGCACGCTCAAAAGCCAGACCTTGCTTCGGCCATGTGGGGCTGGGCGCGCAAATGGCCGTGAGGCACCCAAGCCGTAACAGTTCTTGCTTAACCTCAGAGCCCTCTTCCCCAGCCCTTGAATGTGAGCTTTTTGAGACCGATAGCATCATCCTTTACAAATAAGGAAGCTCGGAGGGAGGAAATGACTTGTCTGAGGTCACAGTGAGAAAGGACGGCCAGCACTCCAACCTGGGTCAGAACGCTGCTGACTCACTCCTGCCAGAACATGTCCCCGCTTCTTTTTTTGTTACATTTCTAACCTGGTTTATTTGTTTTGTATGTGCATATGTACACGGGAGCGGGGAGGGGAGGGGAGGTTGGACCGTATGTGCCATGCAGAAGAGTATAGGGGTCAGAGGACAACTTGTGAGAGTCGGTTATCTCCTTCTAAACATAGGTCCCAGGAAGTACCTTTTAATCACTGGGTTATCTTGATGGCCCCACCTCTTTTCCAAGTAAATATTTATCAAAGTATCAAAGATACCAACTGGATAGTACACCAAAATTTACCTCAAAGAGATTTCACAACAGAACATACCCCTGTCACCAGCACTGAAACTCAAAAACAGGGCATGTTAAATTCATGTAGTATGAATTTTATTTGCATTTAAAAGTAAATCTGGGTTGGGCAGTAGTAGCACACACCTGTAATCCCAGTACTCAGGAGGCAGAGGCAGGCACGCATGCACGTATGCACTCACAGCGTGGGGGGGGGACATTTTAAATGCTGATCACAGTGATTAATCCCAGAATTCAGGAGGCTGAAGCAGGAAGACAAAGGTTCAAGGCCAGCCTGGGCTACAAAGGAGACCTTGTTTGGGGGGAAAAACAACATACAGGTTAAAATTTCGATCTGTTGATAAAGCATGTGTCTAAAATAAATGAAACTCTGGCCTTGAGTGGGGAAATAAACTAAACAAAACCAACCAAACAAATAAATAAAAAAGGCTAAACACTCAGCACTTGGGAGGCAGTGGCAGAAGGATCAGAAACTTAAGACCAGTCTTGTCTACACACCAAGTTCAAGGCCAGCCTAGCACACAACAGTCCCTCATCTTGAACAAAACAAAGTAAGCCATTTTCCAAAAGTCCCCTTATGTCCTTACTCAGTCACTAGCCCCTCTGAATGAAATTGATTCCCTAGCTTTTTAAAAAGATTTATTTTTAGTGTTTTTTAATTGTGTATGAGTGTGCATTCGTGTGTGTTACTCAAGTGCAAGTGTATACAGATGCCCAGATCCCTTAGAGCAGGAGTCAGAGGTGGTTGGTAGCAGTCAAGTTCTGGGAACTGAACAGGTTTTGGTCCCCTGCAAAAGCAGTGCACACCCTTCACGGCTGAGCAGCCTCTCCAGCCCGACCCTGACTCCTACTATCTTCATTTGCTTGGCTCTGAACTTTTTTTTTTTTTTTTTGGTTTTTCAAGACAGGGTTTCTCTATATTGTTTTGGAGGCTGTCCTGGAACTCACTCTGTAGACCAGGCTGGCCTCGAACTCACAGAGATCCACCTGCCTCTGCCTCCCGAGTGCTGGGATTAAAGGCGTGCGCCACCAACGCCCGGCTGGCTCTGAACTTTTTACTTTTTTTTTTCTTGTCTTTCCTTTTTATTCTTTGAAATAAGGTCTTGCAGTACAGCCCTGGCTGCCCTTGAGCTCATGGAAAATCTCCCGCCTCAGATTTCATAAGTACTAGGTTTTGAAGTGTGCACCATCACTCTCAGCAAGGTTTAGAACTCTATATGAATGGACTCACCCAGCGTATACTCTTTAGCTTTTGCTTGAGTTCAGCACTGTGATTCCTCTGACACCATTAGTTCAAGACTGTATTCATTTTCCTTGCTATGTGATACTCTAGTATAGAGATGCCACTGAGTGTTCATTCTATTCTGCCGTGGGGGAACACCAGGGTTATTTGGAGTTACTAGTTGCAGCATTGGTGAACATCTCTATTTGGATGTTTTCCTACCAGGGGAAATGCTGGGTCAGAGGAGACCTAGACAATCATTCTAGGAGGGTAAGGACTGAAGGTATGGCTCAGTCAGTGCTACAGTTGTTGCTGAACATGCGCATGCCTTTAATCCCAGCACTCGGGAGGCAGAGGCAGGTGGATCTCTGCTAGTTCAAGGCCACCCT